TTAAGACGAGCGTTCGGTATAAGACCGAGCGATACTTTAGGACGTACGCTTTGGGTCGAGACCCATCGCTGATTCAATATATTTGAAATAGGATTTTTCATAAGTTATAATGTTGAAGTTACATTTTGAACAATATGACTAAGTGTTTTGAATATATTCTCAGGCTTCTCAAATTCTCACATCACTCTCAAGATATTTACGCTTGGCCGAACGCTCAAACGTAAAGCTATATATAAGAGGGCGTTCGTCCTCCACGAGAATTCTTTCCAAATGAAAGGATTTAGATTTTTCAGAAAAGTTACAGAGAATACCGAACGGTCAAGGACCGTTCGATAACGAACGTTTGTTATCATACAAATCTCATTTTCAATTTCTCATTTACAGTAAACTCATTTTTCCAGTATAACTTTCATACATTTAACTAAGCATATCATAGCAAAATCTAAAATTTTCATGTATCATCTCATCATACAGTTCACATTTCAGTTTAATCCAACCATAGAACATTTCATCATTTCCATACAATCAATTCAAGATCATATTCATACACCAAAAATCCAATTATCATAAATCATACTTCATTCAACCCATAACGCACATGCAGTACAGAAAATCACAAGAATTAAACTTAATAAGCTTCCCTTACCTTCAAGAAGAGTGTTCGTTCCTCAAACAGAAAAATCAATGCCCAGAAAAATCGTTTCTACCCTTAACGCTCAATCAAGCTCTTCAAGCTAAGATTACAGAAAACCAAGATTTGGTTTAGATAAGATGCATGCAGTCCAGAGTTGGGTTTGCATGTGGATATGGACGAACAGCTAGGGACGAAGTACTTACCCGTTCAGACTCCAGAAACGTTCGGTTCAACTTGAAGTTTGTAACGCCGGGAGGGTTCCCACGGTGTCTGATCGTTGATCTGAGAAGGAGGAAGTGAGTTAAGGTAGAGAGAAGATGGAGGTTCTAGAGAGAAGGCAGAGAATTTGAAAATCCAGAGTTTGGGGAAGAAGACGAAGTGTGCAGAAGAGTGGGGAAGAGTTTTCCAGAAATCAATTTTCTCTCCCCAAGCAGGACGTGCGTCCATTAATTTGCTGCCACATGTCTTCCATTAACGTTTTAGAATGTTCTAAAAATGACATTTGGCAGCTGCATGCAGAGTGAGTGCGTGTGCGTCTTTAATGGCACTGAATACGTGTCACGTGCATTAATGGAAGCAGAGTGGTGATTCAGCAGTGAATTTAATGGGACGTGACAAAAGTTTTTTAACTCTCAACCCCTACCCATTCAAAAAAAAAATATTTTTCATAATTTGTTAAGACACGTGCAAAAGAAGTCTACATCATAAAATTAGATAAAATTTCGGCAACATTTCGCATTGGTCTCCGAAATGCACAAAATGAGAGTAGTCAAGGATGACCACAATCAAATATGCATCCGGAGAACAACACAAATACTGAACTAAATTTATCAATCTATCCATAAACCCAAAAGTTACCATGTATTTATAGCAAATATGAAAAATAATTTCTTTTTCTCAAATTGGCCAATTGGAATTAAAAAGTAATACAAAACGATTTTAAAAGATTAATCGTTTGTGTTAAATTTCAAACGGGAACTAAGTTTCACTTAATGATTTGATACTCATAATCTAACATGCCAATTATAATAACACAACTATCACATGCATATTAAAAAGCCAATAACAGATGCAGACCTTAAAGTCAAAAAGATGCATACGCAAAAGCCAATAAAATGTATACACAAAAGCCAATAACAGATACAAAAAATTATCAACGAAAGAAGCTAACCTTTTAGCAGATCCAAAACAAATGGAGGTAAATGAGGAAAGTGCACGGACCTAAAACTTATAGGCAAAAAGAGTAAAAAACGCCGCCCAAGAACACGCCAGAACTGCCACCAAAACGCAACGAAAACGATTTTAATTCAGTTCAAATGAAAGCATATTTCATCAAAGAGTAATTTAATGGAGTAAAAGTAAATTTAAACGAGTCCAAAAGAGAGAAAACACACCTGGAAAGCAATGCCACAGAGGAGAAAACGCGGGGAAGATGATGAACAGTGAGCGTACTCCTTGCGGCGTTCGCGGATTTTAGTATAAGTGGTAGTAGACGTCGGGTTACTAGGGGGCCCCGACGTTTATAATATTATAGATTGTCGGGACCCTAACTAATATGACGTCTTTCTGATTAAATATTCATATTCGCGGGGGCATTTAAACGTCCGTGAGAGGGGCCCTGGACGTTGATATATTATAGACGTCGGGGGCTCCCTAACGGCGACGCCAAATGGCTGAAAAAAATAACTCCTCACCTACCCTGTCAGCCACTTAGACGTCCGTTGTGGGGGGGTCCCGATGTCTATAATATTATAAACGTCGAGGCCCCTCTAACGGACGTTTTTTGTGGCTGAAAAAAGAAACTCTTCAACTACCCTGTCAGCCTCATAGGCGTCCGTTGAGGGGGGTCCGGACGTCTATAATATTATAGACGTCGGGGACCCTGTAACGGACGTTTAAGTGGCTGAAAAAATAAATTCTTCAACTACCCTGTCAGCACTTCCGCGTCAGTTTTGGGGAGCCCCGACGTTTATAACATTTTAGACGTCGGGGCCCCGCCCTAACGGACGTCTACATTCCCACTTATTTACAATAATTTACGTTGTGTTTTGGTTTGGAAGTCTAACTTAAGGAGGAATCTTATGCACTTAGGCTTAATATAAGCCTTAAAGAAACTTACACTACTACGTGGCCCAAATACAATATCCTACTACTACTCTTCAAATTCATTGCTCCATGATGACTCCAAAGTGGGTTCACAAGGTAGAGTTAATGTCATCTTTATGGATGACTTCCACTCTCTTAAAAAGTGCTTTGGATTTGTCATCCCTAGCACTAATGCAGCTCAAGAATAAACTTGATGATGAACTACACTAATATATAGTCTTAAGTTATATTACCTTATTCCTATGTTATTTTTACAAACATATAATTGTTTCTTTTAAAATCTTGAATTGTTGTTATAAAGAAATATTATAATATGATATTATGACTTTTTTTTTGTGAATTAGCTCAAGAATAAACTTGATGATACTAACACTAATATATAGTCTTAAGTTATATTACCTTATTCCTTATGTTATTTTTACAAACACTGTAATTTGTTCTTTTAAAATCTTGAATGTTGGTTATAAAGAATATTATAATATGATATTAGACTTTTTTTGTGGAAGTTATGTTTATTATCAAAAGTTTGAAATACTCTAAATTAATAGACCGTTTTTATTATTGGTGGTATTCTTGTCTAGACAGGGCAGCTAGTAATTCTGTTGCAGTCTATCATACACAGGTCACTAATATTTTAAGTTAGAGATGTATATCATTAAAATTGTATAAACTAACTTGATATTAACTTTAATTTATAATGTTTTAGTATTGAAAAAGAAATTAGGTATTCAATATTCTCCCATATAACTAAAAACATTGATTTTTCATGTTATCACGATGAATATATCTATGTTAATAGGATTGGTGGTTACATTCATAAGAATTTTCAAAACCGTTTTAATAGTTATGTAAGTTTTTGTTAGAATTCACATATAAAAAATAAAAGACTCCTAAGATTATTAATCTTTTTGGATTGAATATGGTTTGATTAATTGTATGGTTTGGTTATATTCTCCTTAGTGTTTTTTTAGTGATGTCAAGTAACCACCAAGGACAAATAACACGCACAGAAAATAACGAGGCAAATCCCCATCTGACTTGGTTTTCATGAATAAGCATAACACGTTTTGACACTGACCAAGGAAGACCACCACTACTCACACCCCCCAACTAACCTCATGTTCATTCATCCTTTAAAACAACCCTACTTTCTAAAAGTCAACAAAATCTCAGGGTGTTCCCACAACACAGACCTCTAAAGAAACCAAACCAGGCTTCAAACAACCATAGCCCTTTTAACCAGAACACTCTGTGCAAACAACCTTTCAACAGTGTTCCAATTCAAACATTTTCTCAAATTTTCAGCAGATGGCAGATAGATATTCAAGTAATTTGTCACACCTTTAATTGCCCAAATTTAATATCATGGGGGACTTTATACAGGAAGTTTAAATCCACAAGATGGATATTTACCGTTGAAAGTTGAAGACAAGTACAATTCCTAGTTGTTTAACTTTTTTTCCTTAAATTATGCAAAGGAGATCCTGGTCTGCTGTTGTCAACAGAGAGAGTCCAAAAATCAGCTTGGAATTGTTTGAATCCCATGCAAGGGGCACCACGTTATCGATGTTGACAAAATTGCCATGGACAACATTTGGACACTTCAGCATTCAAACTGTGGCCACTGGTACCATCCAAACATTTTGCACCTGCTGCTGGTTTTTGCTTTCTAGGAGAACACACATACATGTTGTGCCAAAGACATCCTTGTCCAAAACAAATCCTCCATCAAAGGAAATATCATTGTACACCTAGTCTGAACAGTTTGCAAATGCTGGTTTTGGCCTGCAAGACATGGAACATTCATGTTGTGCACCCATGTCCCAACAGATAAAAGTTGATTGATTGTGACTGATGGAGGTAAAGTTCCTGCGATGAACAAGAGGATATTTGACATGAATTCCCACAATCAAGGCTGAGAAGGCATTAACCTCCAATCAACCACTTGCAAAGGATTTTGCTTCTGTATTGGCATGTCAGCTGATGATCGTTCCTCGCTTTCTGTTCATGATCCAAAGCCAGAGCTCATGATAAGGGCACCTAGGAGCTGTTGCAAGAATAGGCCTCATGAGGAAATGTAATACCTTGAACATCATCCCAGGCTTTCTCTTATTAGCAGCATGTCTAGGTGCATAACAAATGTTGTTCAGTTTGTTAATGTTATTGCCATTTACCAATACCACACTGCTTCTTGACTGTTGTATAGTTGTGGATGTTGGTGGTGGGTTATATTGGCCATCAGAAAAGCTTTATGAATCCACTATGAACCAAATTGCTTGGTTGGTGTTGGTGGATCGAACTGCCCCACAAAGAAATTTCTAGCTCCACCATTTGTGGCTGGTGCTGTATCAATCTGCACTCCATGAAAACTGGTAGCACCATCATCAGTGATCAAATCGGTGGTTGGTGGAGGGTTCCCAAGAAGAATTGTAGCAGCACTGGTGGAAGTTGAAGGGTTATTGTGGCCATCGAGAAAGCTCCAAGCACGACCGTTAGCAACATTGTGGTGTTGTGGTGTGTTATTCAGCCCCCCAAGAAGATTCAATGTACCACCAAGGCTATTACTTTGTTGCCCCCTAATAAAATTTGTAACATTATTATCATAAGGGACACTAGGTCCTGCTCTTGGAGGGAGGGTTTGGAAGAAATTAGGGTATGATCTCCTAGCAAAGTACTCTTCACGCTTCACAATAGCACTCCAAATGGCAGATTCTCTTGCATTGAGCTTGTCCTGAAGGGTCCTAGAATGACGAACAATGTTTCTGATCTTTGCTATGTCTGGGGATATGTGCTTGATGACTGCAGTGAGCACACACATCTTCCACACCTTCTTCAGGTCATGGGGCTTCTTGTAGGGTGGTGGGCCTGGATCTATGGTAAAGCCCATCTGGGCCCACCACCATTCCTGCCCAGTGGGCCACCAAGGAGGGGCAATGCCCTTGTCCAAAGGGTACCTTCTCCGGGGAGGATCACAGTTCTGCATGAGACATGACAAGAGTGAGCCTAGAGTTGTGTCTGGGAGATCATTTAAACTGTATGCTGTTAATGGCTGTCCATTGAATCCATCACTAACCATGTCTTCAAACCCTGTTTCTTCCTCGTACCTGCACCACATGTATTCTATAAACTTATTATTTTTTTTCTTTAAATATGTATTAAGTGTTCATCAATCTTTGAATTTATATGAATATTTTTTGAAGTAAATAATAATATATATAAGTTTGATGATAAGAAAAGTTTGACCTGAGCATAGCAGCAGGACCATTGTGATCAAACTTGACCCTATCCTTCCACCAACCTCTGAGGTTATCAGAAGCTCCACTGACTGGTTTTCCCTTCTCAGGAATGATGCCATAAACGAAGCCACGAACACCACAAATCTCCATCATCTTCACCATGTTCTTCAGCACTGTGTCTTGTGCACGAATCAGTGCCTTCTTCTTCATCATCTCCACCGTTTCTCCTTTCTCCTTATCCCTCTTCTCTTCCTTCAGCTTCCTCAACATCATGCCATCTCTCCACATCCTTGTCTCAGTTCCTCCACTGTCACCACTTTTCTTCTTCTTATCTTCTTCTTCATCTTCTTTCCTACTTCTTCTATTCCACCCTCATCGTTTCTCGTCAGCATTTCTCTGAAGGGTCATCACAGAATACCATAGTTAGCCACCACTCATGCTGTCATCATCCATACAATCCATTGCCTGTGGCTTTTCTTGTCTCATGAAAAAACAATGTGTACAGAAGAAAAAGCTTATCAATGATCATCATTCCATTCATTCAGAAAGCTCCTTTTGAAGACAGATTTGAAAAATCTATATATAATTTTTTAACCCCATAAAATCATCGTTCAAAGAAAAAGAGGTGGATAAGCTCTGGGAAACGTGATTTTCTTAGTCCATTTTACACGGTAAATAAAATATTAAAACTGATACCTGAAGCTACTGTGATGTAATAATGCCTGCTTTGATGACGTAGAACAGTTGTGTTTGGTCGATTGCTAGGGGGGGGGGGGGGGGGGGGGGGGGGGGGGGGGGGGGCGGGGGGGGGGGGGGGGGGGGGGGGGGGGGGGGGGTGGGGGGGGCGGGAGGGGGGGGGGGGGGGGTTGGCGGGGGGGGGGGGGGGGGGGGGGGGGGGTTAGGGTTTGGATAAAGTTAAGGTATAGGGTTTGGTTAGTAGTATTGATCTTTAAAATTTTGAAGAAAATATGTAAAGAAGAAAGTTAAAAAAAAAAAAAAGAGTAATAGTGAAAACTATATGTATAGTTGTGTGATTTAATTATTTGATTTTTGAATTATGAAACTGAATTAAAAAAAATTGGAAGTGATATTATATATGTAAAATTCACTTAATGATAAATTAGAAGAAGAAAATTATGCTAAAAGTTTGATACGCTGTCACTGAAAAAATATTTGTTTATCTGATTTGTAAAAATGGTAATAATTGATTATTTAAGTGAATTTTTGAAAAAAAATTGAATTGGTTAAAATTGTATCATACAAAATGGTATTAAAAGTTTGTTAGATAGTTATAGAATATAGATGGTGTAAACAAGTATGTGTACAAAATTTAGATCATAAATTTCGTTTTTATTCTTTAAACATAAACATTATAGTGACTTGTTTAATATTTTTTAAAATGAAGGGAGTGATAAAATTTAGCCTGAATAGAAAGAAAATAAAAAATAAATAAAACGATTCATTATTTTGAAAAAAAAAAATCTATATAGATAAGATGGTAACCATTTTTTTATGAGTACTTGATGGATATTTATGTTTTAAAAAGTGTTTGTATATTTTTGTTCATGTTAAATATATCTTTTTCCTTTAAACTATTTTTTAAAAAGTATGCTTTATCTTTAAATTAAGCTATATATACATATTTTGTTTCTACTTTATGAAAGTAATCCATGTGTTATTTATTGAAGAAAATGTTGACATTACTTCAAGTGTACAGATACAGTTTAGCTAAAAAAGATAAAAACACCTTTGAAAATGTTTTGGAAAAAAAAAAGAGAGAAAAAACATATTTAATTTATTTAATGCAAAGCTTGCAAAATTGGATATGGAGATTTTGGAAAAACACATCTTTTTTGATTCAAAAGAAAGGAAAATTGGAGGAAAATATATATAATCACTCTCAAAATTGTGGTAACTCAAATAAAAAATAAATAAATGAAAGCATAAACTAGATGCAGAAAAATTATGAAATATTTGGCAATAGGAAAATAATTTAGTGATTCTTCCTCCTATTCTATTTGAAATTAATCAAGCATGGAATAAAACACTAAATATAAACAATTATGCAAATAAATTAAGCAAAGTAATTTGTAAAAACATATATATAAATTGAATCATACCAAAAAGTCATTGTAGGCCAAAAGGAGGATAAAGGGTAAGGTGTGAAGTTGTGAAAATGGAACAAGAGAGTGGCACAAAGAGAAAGTGAGAGAATTAGGACACAAGAAAACAAAAAGAGGGTGCTTTCAAAGTAGAAAAATGTCACCAAGAACACTAATCTTAGAGTAGACATACAAAACGAGTAAAGTGGAAAGGGAAGCGGTTAAAACCAAAAGAAAGGGGTACAAGGTTATTAGCATAAAAATGGGGAGGAAAACTGGGGTTGGAGGAGGAAAAGCGGCTCACAACAAAGGGGGGGGGGGGGTGGAGGGGGGGGGGAGGGGGGGAGAGTTTTTTTAGTTTTTATTTCTTGTATAAAATTAGTTGTTTTTGTTTTATTTTTTATTATTTTTTTTATTATTTATTATATTTTGATATGTTGCTAAACCACAAAACGCTATTTTTCACAAGAAAAAAGTGCTTAATTTTTTATACTAAATACAGACAACAATTTATAAAAATAATTTTTCAATTGTAAAAAGGTGCAACCGGTGTTGACCTTCAGTAAAATGATTATATAACCAAGTGGAAAAAAAAAGATTAATTATTGTCTATTTTGGTAAAAAAGAAAAATTTAAATAAATGATTGTTCTTCATTACTCTTAAGAAAAAAAAAAAACTTATAACTTTTCTTCTTTACATGTTATTCTGTTCATTTACTATAACCTAAGAACTTAATTAGTTTACATTTTAACAACTATAGAAATATTTTATACTTCCTATATTGTTCACATTACCAAAACAACCATTTTATAAACAAACTACATTCATTAATTCCTTTTTTTTTTTTTTTTGTGCCAACAGTTTTAGCATTAATTGTTTTATATGATTCAATTGCTTATTTACTAAAAAATAGCAAAAAATTGGGGATGTATATACAGCTGATGTAAATTCGGCTTAAATATATTTTAATCCTGTAAAATGAGCATATTTCAATTTTAGCCCCTATCAAATGAATAATGTTTTGACAAACATGGTTTTAATTCCTATACCTTAAAAGTAATGATTTAATATTTAATTTTTTAGAATATATAAATTTAGTTTTTCTTAATTTTTTTGATGGACCAAGGTTGTCACACTAAAGTTATGTTTAAGGAAAGATTAACTTTAAATATTTTCGTAAAGTTTAAAAATATAGAGACTAAAATAAAATTTATCATAAATATAAGAACTAAAAGTATATTTGTCAAAACTTTACTTTTCAGGTCTCTCAAAATAAACCAATGTGAGCAATATTCTTTTAAAAATATTCAGCTGTTTCCTTTTTTTTCTTCGTTTTTTAGTTACTAATGAATTATTAATACTAGTATGCTATCATTGTTATGTCAAGCAATATGTATTTCTTAATTAAATACTATTATTTAAACAATTTTTCCTTATTTTGTGAGATTATAGAAACAACCCCCCCTTACTATGACTGATGATTTAGAGATCATGTTTTTATCTTTGGTGAAGGTGGAAATAAAAATATACAAAATTTGGTATGTGTTGTTTAANTTTAGTTAAAAGATTTCTTTTATTTTTTTTAATTTTCATTCCTCCATAATTTTAAGAACTTTAAGATTTTGTTAAATTACATTTGATCCTTATATAAATAATATTAGTATGGGCGACTTAGAATGTTTTGATATAAATATAGTTAGTATCATATATAATACTTAAAACTAATGCTTTTAAAAAGTCTATGGAATTAAAGGTGAAATTAAATCTTAAATCATAAATCTTTAATATTCAAACAATGAATACATTAATAAATATATAGTAATAATTATAATGTATTATTTAATATTAAAAACACACAAATATATACAACGTCAAAATTAATTCGAAATTTATTACATAATTTCATTTTATTATACTATTTAAAAATATGTAAATATTTACTATTAGATTATATATTTATAAACTTTTAAGTTAATTAAAATTTTAGATTTATGAGTTCATATACATCTTAAAATTACGAGTTCAACTTGAATTTGATGTTTTTATGTATTTGGATTTATTGAAATTAGAATATCAATGGATGAATTGCTTCTTTAAACAACTTCAACTTTTCATTAAAAAACACTTAAGAGAGTAATGAAATGATTATACATTAGTCAAGTCTTAAAATTATATTTAGGACATGTAAATAACACTCATACAAGTAAAATTTCATTAAAATATTATAAATAGATAGAAATCCCTATTTACTCATTTATTGCATCACATATACTTTAACCAACTTGAATCTAAAAATATTTTTATAGATATTCCTACCAAAAAAAAGGTATGTAGTAAATTAGAATAAAAAAGAGTCATTTTAACCTTATACAAATTATTTTGACTCTTATAAGAGAAAAATATAAAGAAAATAATAAAAAATAAATAAATAAAAGACTTGTTGACAGAATGAATAAAAATAAGGTGAAAAATTTATTTATAAATGAAAACAAAATAAATAAATTATAAAAGACATTTAATTATTTTTTAATTTATATTATTATTATTTTTAAAAAATAGTTATCTTTATTAACTTTTGTACTTTTTATATTTTAAAATTATTTAATTTTAAATGTAACATCCCAAAATTATACAGTCATCAACTATATACTTAGAATAATCACATTTATCAATATGGCAAAACAGTCTTAAAATAACAAGGATTAAATTCGAGAATAGCCGAACGGCCTTAATGCATTCATAAGTTACGAGCGTTTACAAAACAATGAGGACGAACGGTTTACAAAATAAAATAACGAACGTCCAAGTATTTACATCAAGTAAAAGGGCGCTCGCTCACAAGCGGCCCGCTATCCTAAATACACTAACTAAAAACCGAACGCACTACTGTTCGGCCTTCACTTCTACTTCCACTAGATTTTCTTCCGCAATGAATCCTTCTTCAAGCGTTTGCTCCAGTGAGGTATCTCCTTCTGCTCACATCCACACGGATGATCATTGCAAAGACAAGACGGAGATACATATACAGACAACACAATGGAAAATGCAAGGGTAAGCTTATTGAATTTAATTCAAGTAAACACACATACATTTCATACATATCGAAT